GACCACGTACGTTCTGTTTTGTTTTCTTTTTTTTTGGTTTCTCACAAGAAGAAAAGAGAAATCGTGATCCTGTTCTCTGGCGGGAACAATTAGAGTCAGCTCACATAATAAGATACCCAGCTCGGCAGGTTCAACCCTGACTTCTAAGGGTTGTCAGCTGGAATCGTCAGTCTGGCTGCCTTCTTTATGTTCAAGACATTTAACATATATATGTGTGTGTGTGTGTGTGTGTGTGTTAGAATTTTCCCACAGAGCTACACAAGAGCAATCTGCGCCATAATTGTGAACTCATAGACTACAGAAGCGGTAGCACCCACCGCCAACTCTTGCCTAATCAAATAGTGGAAAAAGGAATGTGAGTCACAAACCTCCACATTTACAGTCCGGGTACGGTAACCTCTTGGCCACGCCTGGTCCTTCAACGTATGCATTAACTGACTTTTTGTGACGCTTCGTTTACAGGGCCTAAGTATTCAATAGAAGTCTTCTACTGAATATTCTCAATTGAATTTCTTTACAGGTTACTTTAATCATTAATATATATCATTGGAGTAATATTACTTCGTGGTAAGCAGTGGCGCAGTGCTAAACTACGAAGTGAGGAGTTGCCATGATCTCCATTGACCCCCCCCCCTCCACATACTCCCAGACAGAACAGCAAATTATTGAACTGGCTATTTGATATTACTATATTGTTTACTAGTTAATTATATGCTCTGAAAATCATTGCTTGATATATATAATACCGTGAAGCAACAGTATAGAAAGGTGGCTTAATGATAAAAACTTTATTTTATATAAAGGGATCCATATTAGAGACATAATTATAATTTCATCGATTCATGTTTGAATATCTATATATGGAAAAAAGTAACAAGAGAAATAATGCGCATTAGAAGCATGGATGCAGCGCTACCCCTGTACGCGTAGAGAGGGGTCGGCGCTTCTTCGTGACCCCACAGAACCACAACAGCGATAGCAAAACTGATAATAAATCAAATCACTTATTTATTTATTTTTACTAGCTCTATAGGTATTTATTTCTAGTAAAAAACGCGTATAACAACATTTTGAAATATGTCTTGTTTGTTGTACTTAGCTGAAGATTGAACATCTTTCTCGTTAGTAGAACTCATCACGAAGGAAAGGCTGCAGAACAAAAATGATTATTGATAAATTTTGATGCAGTAGTGTCATCGGTAGCGGCGTACATCAAACAAGATGTCATTGAAGCATATATGTATATACACACAAATACATAAATATACGATTGCCAGGAAATAATTAAAGTTTGCATAGCTTTGTGCTTAATTACAAACAAACCTTCCTAGTAACCAATGTGTTATCTGTGCTCTGCCCACCACGGGTATCGATACCCGGATTCTAGCGTTGTAAGTCCGCAGACATACCGCTGTGTCACTGCGGAGCTATGAGGAAGGTAAGGAACTGCTAATTTACAAAGGGGCATTTTGCCTTATTACAAAGTTGGAGGGATCACTAGTTTTTCTCTTTGACTTTTCTATTTCCTCAGGTTTGCTTATTACTGTGATATATGTTTCACACACACACCCAGATATGACAGAGTTGTCTGTCCGTTGTCACAACTTCAATAGCTTTTGTGAGGAACTCACTGCTAATCTCGAAAATCGAGTTTTAATGAATAAAAAAACCTGACAAACGGTTGGTTTTGGCAACTATTTCAAATTTTACAAAGTGAAGCCTCGCCAGAGGAAAGTGGCGTTTGATGGCGCGCGTAGTCCGGGTACGTAAATAAACAGTTTGTATGTAATGACTGAAAATGCCTTTCGTTTTTACTTTGAATAACTTTTTATGTTTTTCATTGTCGTTACTTTTTTAAGCCCGGTATTGACGGGTATCTTTCAATTGTACACAAACTATAGCATATGTTGAGAACTGAATGGTTTAAAATGTAAACTGTTTCTTAAAAAATAAGAAGATAACAAAATATTCGCAACTCTGACTTACAGCGTTTTGAATTGTGTTGAATATGAATAAAAATGCAAATACTCAAGTTGGTTTTTTATATCGATACTGACATGTACTTCAACATGAAGTAATAAATTGACGAATAAATCTCGCAGTAAAGCGCATCATGTGTGGAGAAGGAAAGTAAAAAATTCGTTAATCCGAAGAATAAAATACGCTGTTTAAACGTACATTCAGCTCTAACGACAAACCTATAGACATACTAAAAACGGAGTCGACAACCCACGACCTCCGAGTATCGTGCTGATCTTTGCCAGCATATGGGTGCGGGATGGCCCTGTGGTGGAGCTATGGATTTCAAATCTTGTGAGCTGGGTTCAAATCGGTGCGAGACCACAAAATACCTCCCACACACCACACACACACACACTATAAGTTATGGATGAATAATAAGAGTGACAGTCAATTCTTCAGCGTGGATGGTAGATGCCGCTGACTAGCTGCCTTTCCTTTGGTCGGTAGTACAAAATTAAGGACGCCGGTAGAAAGCCTTAGTAGCTTTGGCATAAATACAGACGGTTGGCTCCTGTTCACTTCCACGTTACATACGCTTCAGTCTGTATACAAAAAGCCCGGCATGGCTAGGTGGTTAGGGCGCTCGACTAGCAATCTGCGGGTCGCTGGTTCGAATCCCTGTTATACCAAACATGCGCGCCCTTTTAGCCGTGGGGGTGTTATAATGTGACGGTCAATCCCACTATTCCTTGGTAAAAGAGTAGCCCAAGAGTTGGCGGTGGGTGGTGATGACTAGCTGCCCTACACTGCTAAATTATGGACGGCTAGTGCAGATAGCCCACGTGTAGCTTTGCGCGAAATTCAAAACAAACAAACAACTGTTTTCCAAAAAAATATAATTTTAAACTTTGAAAAAAAGAAAAGATGACTGCATAAATGTTTGGATTGGCTTTCCTTGCATCAATCTTGTTTAAAAAAAGAGTCCAAGTACGCAGGCTATGAGCTGCTAGGCTTAAGGACTCTATAGAGTCTAGAGTATACTGCGGCTCTTCAAAATGGGCTCTCACTCCGTAAAAAAAGTTGCCAACCCCTTGTATTAAAGTGTGTAATATGGGAGCTAGGGTACTTTCATCTGTTATACAGAGTGCGGTCTATAAAACGATGTTATCCACACACAGAAATGTCAGTTTGGAGTGCTATGGGACGATAACGTTGAAACATACACATGAAAGGCGCGAAAACGATCTGACAAAACAGGAGGGAGTTTGAAGCCACTCAGCATTCCAGCATGTTTAATACTCAGACTCTTGTCATAGTTCGGTGTTGTAAAACAAAAACATATAAACTCACGTTAAATAACAGAACTCCATTCAAAGCTGAGAACTGTGGTTTTAACAGTGTTAACTCTCGCCTGTCCTTCTTGATCGACGAGAGAGTAGTCACCCAACAGACGTACTATGTGACTTTAGGTGGAAACATTAGTTGGAGCACTCTGTTTTTGTGCGTTTGTGTGTATGTGTAGAGTGACTAATAACAGTCACTATTGATTTTCAAAATGATACACCAAAAAATATATTAATAAATAAAATAGAGAATAGATCTCTTCAGTGACTCTCAAGTTAACCACAAAACAATTAACAGTAACATGTGTTTGTAACCGAGTTATTAAAGACAATACACAAGACACGATGTTATTGTTATGTCACAGAAAAATATATTGTTTTAGGCAGTGGAAAAAAATTAATGGACTCTTCTTGGTTTGTTTTCTGTGTAAAGTGACACTGCAGTCTCTATGCTGAGTCCTTACAAGCACGACTAGTTGTGCAAACAGCGGGTGCTGCTGACTAGTTGCCTACCCGCTTGTCAGCTCTTCTAAATTAGGGACAGCTATACCTGAACAACAAGCTATCTCCACTATGCCGACTGGGAGGGATATAATCCGGAATTTTAGCATTATAAGCCTACTAGCTTACCACTGAACTTTATTAAAGCGATATCTATAAAATCGTAATGCGTGAATATAGACATATATTTGACCTTGTGCGTTCATTGTTGGTATTATACTGATAAACATAATTGCTTTAAAAAAACAAAAAATAAGATTAGTAATGAAATACAAGGTGGTCCCAAGTTATCTTTCTAATTTTAAAATTTAATAATTAGATAATTAAAGAAATATAACCTTGCAGCTTTCAACATCTTGTAGCCCAACTCAAACAGTTTCTATTAATATGTCAGCAGATTTCTACGTGTGCACCATTAGTGGTTCTTTGCAAGTCTAACCGATATTCGGCTTCAGTATACGTTTGCTGTAACATGTCAATAGTTATAGTGGTGATTACATCCGTTATCCTGGACTTTAGCTCCGTGATGTTTGCTATAGGTGTGTGATACACGATATCCTTCACATACCCCCAAAGAAAGAAAAAGTCTAGTGGAGTGATGTCTGGTAAACACGGAAGCCACAGAATTGGCCCACCCCTGACCAATCTATCGCATTGAGCCTTTTCTTGCACGGTTACCATGTTACGAGGTAATACTAATTACTGGGGTGAAAACAACAACAATAACAAAAAAAACAAGACAACTATTGGAATTGGGCTACAAGATATTGAAAACTGTATTTCTTTAGTTATTTAATTATTAAATTCTAAGATAGGAAAGATAATTTTGGTACACCTTGTACAGGTTAACGAACTTAATCTGTTGATTTAGAAATATATACAATAACAGTCAAACATCTTACTACTTCGCGTTAGCTGGAGCACCAAAATAATATCAGAAAGATCCTTATTCAGTAAACAAAGACGATTCTCAGCCTTTGAGAAACAGCATTTAAATGCTACAGTTTACTGGTTTACTGCCGATTGACCTCATGCCATCTTAACAAAATGACCCAGATATGAATGGTTGGCAACACGAACAGTAACAACGTCAGTCCGGAGATTTTAACAACTTTTAATTAATGGTTTGAAAGATTGCAATAGACAAAAACATAATAAGGCTAAAAAGAGAAAAGGAAGAACAAAGAAACTTACCAGACAAAGATATAACGGCACCCAGTACGCCTTCATATTGCCTGTGAATGTAAAAAAAGTAGGTCAGATAAAGATTGTTTGTTTTAAGTATGCACAAAGCTG